GAGAGGATAGATGACGAGAGAGAGGACGGAGAGAGAGAGAGAGAGAGAGAAGAGGTAAGTGGGGATGAGAGGAGAAGAGATGATGAGAGGAGGCAGAGAGAGACGGAGGAGAGATGAGGAGAGATGGCGAGACGGGTGAGAGAGAGAGAGGAGGCGACGAGAGAGAGAGATGAGAGAGGAAGCGAGAAGAGAGAGAGAGAGAGAGAGCGAGTGGAGAGAGAGAAGAGAGAGAGAGGGAGAGAGACTCGAGAGAGAGAGAGAGAGAGAGAGGAGAGAAGAGACGAGAGAGAGAGAGAGAGACGAGAGAGAGAGAGAGAGAGAGAGATGAGACGAGAGAGAGAGAGAGAGAGAGAGAGAGAGGGAAGCAGAGAGAGAGAGAGAGAGCATGACGAGATATATATAGGAGGTAGAGATGAGTGATATATTTTATATTAAATTAATAGAAGCACCCGTGTATCCCGCAGGACCGGTTGCCGTAAACGCGAAGGGGGCGCCACTGCGGAGGATGGTGAAATTCTCCATCGCCGACTTCGTGCTCCAGCGACCAAGGGGGGGGGATTGGCGGCAGAACGGAGGTATCAAGCGGGAAAGTATTACGGCACGGCGGTGGTGGGGGGATCATTTAGCATGTATGGTTTATGCGTTGCATTGAAAACGCGTGTATCTTGGTTTGATCTACTCCGTGATTCAGCCGTTTCTTCATCATCTTTCTTTCCTTTCTATTTCTTTTCCTATCCTATCTAGCTCTCTCTATCTAAATCTAACTATCTATCTATCTATCTATTTCTGACTATCTATCTATCTATCCTATCTACTTTCTCTATCCTATCTAGATCTATCTATTCTTATCTATCTATCTAGTCTATCTATCTATCTATCTATCTATCTATCTATCTATCTATCTATCTATCTTATCTATTATCTTATCTATCTATTCTATCTCTCTCTCTTCCTCTCTCTCTCTCTCTCTCTCTCTCTCTCTCTCTCTCCTTCGCTCTTCTCTCTCTCTCTCTCTTCTCTCTCTCTCTCTCTCTCTCTCTCTCTCTCTCTCTCTCTCTCTCTCGTCTCTCTATCTTCTCTCTTCTATTAAATATATAGATATATATAGATTATAATATATTACATACATATACATTACGTATACCCCACCTCTCTCTCACCTATCTTCTCATCATCTTCTCGTCCGCTCTCCCCGCAATCGACCGCCAAAAAAAACTTTAGCGGAATCACCCATCATCTCCTTTCAGCAATCCCCGGCCGCCGCTCTTACAAGTCCATCCTCGACCGGAAGATCAAGAGAGCATGCAGCGTGCGATGTGCTCGGTGCGCGCTCGCGTCGCCTTACGCAGAGATAGCGCGCTCAGCAGGTGGTTGCGCCCAACCACCCGTTCATCGAGCGCGTGCCCCCGTGCAACGGACGCGTCGCCGTCGCCGATGGGGCGGAGGACTACGACAATCGCACCGTCACCGGCCGACCGAGAACAATCGCCCGGGAGGAGGTGGGCGCCACCGCCCAACACGCCGCGCGAGGAGCGCCCCTGACGGTGACGGTGACGCGGCTCGGCGCTTCTGCGTCGCCAATCGCCAGGCTTGTCGACGATGTGCGTGCCGCCTAGGTGCGCCGAGGCAGACGCAAGTGGCGCCCGGGGGAATGCTCGCGGAGGGAAATGCCGCGGACACCAGGTGGCGCCGGTGCTCGCAGCGGCAGACGAGGCGGGAGACACTAGATGGTGGCTAATGCAGAGCAGAGGTAGCGTCCGTCTAGCCACAGACGACGAAGGACGGCTGGCAAACGAAAAAAAATCCTCAAGGAACAACCTCCCGTTACAAGAACCAACCTCCCAAAGAACAACCTCGCTGGATGAAACAACTGTTAAGGGAACAACCTTGCAAAGAACTGTTGATGAACAACCTCCCCATGGACAACCTGCCAATGAAACAGCTTCTTGAGGAACAACCTTGTCAATGAAACAACTCCAAAGAGCTCCTGTCGATGAACAAACCCCTCGTGGACGAGGGTCTTCGGACGGGGATGCGGGTTCGCGCCGCCGGCGTTCGAGGGCTGTGACGACGGGGAAAATGAGGACGTACCAGAGGGCGCCGGCTCCTCACGCCCCCGTCGACCTCCGCTGACATGCTGCTGGCGTCAGAGGGCGGTTCACGATCAGGCGCAGGGGACCCGCCGGAAAACCTTTCCCGAACCTCTCGAGGAGATGTGATGGAGCACGGAGGGGAGAGGTGGCCGGCGTGAGAATTTAGTGCGTGGCGGAGGGGGTGCATGTGTGGCGTCGGGGGAGAAGGGTAGCATGGGGGAGGGGAGCGTATGGCGTGTGAGCAACTTAACAACTATCAACACAGCTATAACCCATTTCTCTTTTTCTTTCTCTCTCTTGCAAACTCTCTCTCTCTCTCTCTCTCTCTTGTCTTGGCAAATTCTGCTCTCTCTCTCTCTCTCTCTTTTCTCCTCCTCCTCTCTCTACTCTCTCTCTCTCTCTCTCTCTCTCTCTCTCTCTCTCTCTCTCTGTCTCTGTCTTGCAAATTCTTTCTCTCTCTCTCTGTCTCTGTCTGTCTTGCAAATTTTCTCTCGCTCTCTCTCTCTCTCTTTATCTCTCTCACCATCATTTTCTCCCACACTCTCTCTCTATCATTTTCTCGCTCTCTCTCGCTCTCTCTCTCTCTCTCTCTCTCTCTCTCTCTCTCTCTTCCCCTCACCCTCCTCCCTTCTTATTCTCAGCTCATATCTGTCACACTCACTTTTTCTATTATTCCTTCTACTACTAATAACAGTGTGACATATGTAAAACGTATGCAGTCGTCGAGGAGACCTTTAAACTCTCGAGTAACCTGATAAAAATGAATTATCAAGCGAGTGATTGTGTCAACATGCAAAGTGTAATATAATCGTGATTGCACATTAATCCAATAATAATCGCATTACGTGTGGTATTGATTGAAATAGCTATAAATAGCTTGTCTGAAATCTATTCATCGGCACTGCCACACTGGTGGTTTTGCTGCGAAATTTTTTCAATTGTAGTTTTTGTCACGTGCGTATATGTAACGAAAGGGTAAAAACGAGGACTTGCTTTCAATGACAAATCTATTTGCAATTAAAACTATATAAATAACAAGAGATATAGATTTGCGTTATCATCACAACATCTCGACAACTATGTATGCACCGTTTAGACGATACCGATTCTGCCCTTCAGCTGACCTTCACTGAACAATCCACAAGCACTTCAAAGATATCGCCAACATTCTATATATTACAAAAAATTGCATAAAAACCGTGAGATCTGTCGCAAAAGCTTAGCACTCTTACATCTTCATCCGCACTACGTGACGCCACTATATTCTGTTAGCATTTCTGTATTCAGAAAAAAGCAACAGGTCGCTTCGTGATTATCGTGTACGTAAACGACATTTACAAAATGGCCGCACAGAAACAAATTTAAACACACTCTTACATCCTCATCGCACTGCATGACTTTGCTACATTCTGCTAGCATTTCTGTCTTAAAAAAATCGAGAGGCTGCTACGGGCGTATCATGTGTGTTTAAAAGACATCTACAAAATGGCCGCACAGCGACAAATGCACGACGGTTTCACGCAAACGCGCGACAAGCTGCCAGTAAGACAAACCGCCCGCCTGGCGACGCGGCGTGACAGAGAGACTCGACCGCCGCTAGACGAACTACGCCCCCCCCCCCGGGGAGGCACTCACCCCACATTATGGTATGTATGTGCCACTGCGAAGTCAAAATTGGGGTCTCTGGAACTAACTCAGACCTGAAAATGGGGGTCTCTGGAACTAATGTTTGTCGAATGTGGGATGCTCTGGAAATGTTCGAAAATGTAAACTTGCGATGCTCTGGAACAAGATATTCTTAAAAATGTGATGTACTGGAACGGAAGTTTAGGGTGAAAAAGGGGGGTCACTCCCGCGGCACATACCTACCATGCAATATATATGGAGTGCCCCCCCCCCCCCGGGAACTACGCCCGTGTGGACGACCCATTCGTGTCTTCTTTTCCGCGACGCGCATTCGCGGCGGTAAGACGATGTGCAACGCCTTCCCCGACGACCCGACGATGACTTGACCGCCGCTAGACCACCGCCTACGTCTGCGATGATGACTCCTCCCTATCCTCCGCCGGCGTCGTCGCGGCAACCGCCCCGCGTCTTCGTTCGTCCTCCTCCTCGTCGAGTCGCGCGAGGTACGTGTGCCGCCGGTGCTCCGCCGCCATCCACGCGCGCTGGCAGGCCTGCGTGCGACGCGAGCTCACCGTGTAGCCTACGCCGCAGCTCGCAAGCACCGGCGCGAGGATGTAGTACTTAGCTCCGTACGGCAAACTCGTCCTCAGAAGCTGCTGGGCGATGTAGACTCCCGTGAAGCCTGCAACGTCGCAGACGATCAGATCGTGTGGTCGCTCGCGGCGACAGGGGCAGCATCGTCCCCCCTTCCTCACGAGAAATCGTGCGCGAGCGGGTGGAGCTGATTACGCGTGAAGAATTTTATACTTTGACTTCTGTAGGCTGAATTCTATCGAATTTCTTTGAGCATTTACTGTGTTAACCTCTTTCTGAAAACTGAAATTTTACGCTAGCGTTCGTGTATATACTCACTGAGAAATGCCGCTCCTGTGCCAATCATAAATGCTCTTGACTGACACTTGGTATACGACTTCAGCCCCTGCAAGAACGAAATCGTAGATGCGTGCATAAATAAGTATTTTAGTCACGTGCTAGTGAATCTGTAGTGCATGTAAAAATACACAATTATATATGCAGCCATATGTGACAATAATGGACAGGGCCATGGCTAGCTAAAGGAGTGGCCCAAGAGGGGACAGTTTTTCTCCAGACAAATGTAGATAGTATATTACACAGCCAATTGGAAAATTTCGACGGTAAACTACCCAGAACACAAACCGCAAATCGTTTTGCCCCTCGAGGAAAACAAGTTACCGTATTTACTTGTGTATAAGTCATACTCGTGTATAAGTCGCACCCCGTATCTTGCCTTGAAAAGTTGGTACAAACATTGGTACGTTAACAAGATTTCTTAGCCTCGTGTATAAGTCGCTCCCCTGATTTTTTTTATTGAAGTTGTGTAGAAATGAGTGTGACTTATATACGTGAGTAAATACAGTAGCTACGCCCCTAATGGGAGAGATCATCACAATATGCACTACTGCGTGCCCCGGCAACGTCTGCCATGTTTAAAGACATAGACATTGCGTAGATTTCACTAGTATTGCACACAAAAAAAAGAATCTCAGACTCACGGGATGCTTTTCCGAGTATTGCTCGGGAACTCTACCGATATTATTCATCTTTCGCGAACGTATACGACTTGAGCGACTATGAGGGGTTGAACTTCAGGCACTTGACTTGAGAAGTTTTTTCTATGAAGGCGGGTCCATGTTCACCTGGATAAACACAGATAAAACCATAGAGGATTATTAAAATGAGATCACACAATAAATACGCAAGGAATCAACAACAGCAAATTATGGGGATATACTAATTAGAGCACAAAGGGTCGTTGTCGTATCAGGGACTACATATATGTACCCGAGGTAGTTTTAGGTTATTTAGTATTATGTTTATATTTTTATATGAGGTATAAAGTCTTAATGTTTCTCTTCTCTATATCACATGTAAATGCCGGTCAAATGCTCATCTGCAACACACAAGTACACCGCACGCTAGCTGCTGCACACTGACGCTCAAGGGGTCGTTGTTGTATCAGGTACTACAGATATGTACCCGAGGTACATATATGTA